AGGAGGAAACTTTATTAATCTGTTCATAACTTGGGGACTACCTGTTATGTACTCACATCAGGGTAATCTAATACTCACATGCCGGTACACTATACTCACAGGCCAGGGTACACTAATACTCACAGGCCAGGGTACACCTAATACCCACATGCCAGGGTACACTAATGCTCACAGGCCAGGGTACACTAGCCTCACAGGCCAGGGTACACTAATACTCACATGCCAGGGTACACTAATACTCACATGCCAGGGTACACTAATACTCACAGGCCAGGGGTACACTAATACTCACAGGCAGGGACACTAATCTCACGCCAGGGTACACTAATACTCATGCCAGGTGCACTATACTCACATGCCAGGGTACACTAATACTCACATGCCAGGGTACACTAATACTCACATGCCAGGGTACACTAATACTCACAGGCCAGGGTACACTAATACTCACATGTAGGGTACACTAATACTCACATGCCAGGGTACACTACAGTAATACTCACATGCCAGAGTCCAATACTTCTTGCCAGTGAGTAGGTAAGATGTACTTGGTCAGCATTTTGGTTCTTTTGCGTTCATAGTCAGAGTTGATTGTTTTGCGTTCATTCCACTGGTCCCGGCACATGTCACTGCACTCATGGTACACATTCCACTTGTTGGGGCAGCCGGCATAACCCTAAAAGATAGATAGAAAGATATTAATACAGTAAAATAGTTGTGCCAGTTTACATTGACTCAGCAAGACAGTGCAGGTATACAAACAATGTACCCAGACAGTGCAGGTATACAAACAATGTACCCAGACAGTGCAGGTATACAAACAATGTACCCAGACAGTGCAGGTATACAAACAATGCAGACAGTGCAGGTATACAAACAAACCTAGACAGTGCAGGCGTAAACAGTAGACAGTGCAGGTATACAAACAATGCGCAGGTATACAAACAATGTACCTAGACAGTGCAGGTATACAAACAATGTACCCAGACAGTGCAGGTATACAAACAATGTACCCAGACAGTGCAGGTATACAAACAATGTACCTAGACAGTGCAGGTATACAAACAATGTACCCAGACAGTGTAGGTATACAAACAATGTACCCAGACAGTGCAGGTATACAAACAATGTACCTAGACAGTGCAGGTATACAAACAATGTACCTACACAGTGCAGGTATACAAACAATGTACCTAGACAGTGCAGGTATACAAACAATGTACCTAGACAGTGCAGGTATACAAACAATGTACCTAGACAGTGCAGGTATACAAACAATGTACCTAGACAGTGCAGGTATACAAACAATGGTAAACAGTAAGCCAATCAGACTAAGAAAAGACAGCAGATGCTTATTTTCAGTCAGGTCCTTTACTTAAGTTGGGGCTGTACCTGTACTACAGTAACCAGTAATAATAATACTAATAAAGATAAAAATATGTACTATAGATGAATACAGAACCTTGCACATAGACTACTGTACTGTACCTGTGTGAGATGTTAAAGGACATACTGTACATCATAACCTGAAATCAGTATTGCAAATTTCCCAAACAAAATCTCATAGAGGTTTAAAGGATGAAAATATTAACGTCCAAATTGGGGGTGCCGGTGGGTAGAGCGGTACCGCTCTTGCCTCGCAAGCGAGATGTCACGAGTTCGATTCCCGGGCCGGTGGAAAGTTGTTTGGACACACTTCCCAGCATCCCTTAGTCCCTGTTCACCTAACAGAAAAGTAGGTACCTGCTGTAAATCGAAAGTTGCAAATTCGTATTCAGGGAGAGTTGTTGGAGCTTCCAATAACTTGCTTAAACATAAACCATTGACTCTTCAGGCTTCTATGCCCTTAACTCATGAGACATAAAGGCAAGCATGAACTTAGCATGCTTCCCTGTTGGGCGCTGTAAACGCTTCTGCTCTTCACCTTACACAAGGATGTAGAATGGGTCCAAGATAACAAAAGTTTTCTTACACTCACCAGGTATGGGTCAATGACTTGAGATTCTACGGGTGTGTAGTTGAGGGAGGTTTGTTGTGGGGTCTCGTCATAATCTTCAGCAATAATTTCTTCCTCTGCCGAGGCTGCAGGCTCAGGCTCCGAAAAAACTGTGGAGACGTTAAAAATAAGTACAACAGCCAGTCTGATAATTGTACAATCTTGTTATTAGCTATATTATACTGGATAATTACCAATGATCCTCCAAACTTTAAACTCTGGATAATTGTTTTTGTTCCACCAATACAATATCAACAACTCTGGATAATTTTAAGGTTGGGATATGTGAGGGTGTTAGAAAAGTTTATTATGATGTGGTACAAAATGTACAGAGAGAAACACAATATAATAGAGTACAATACCACTTTTATTAACATCTGTAGAGCCACAAAAGGAACTCCTATTCAACTTATACAGCTTGAAAATAAACTTTTTTGAGTTCTTTATGTATCTTGCTTTACCCGCTGGCTTCAATAGTGTTTTGCATAATAAATATTAAAACATGGGATGATGATCTGTAATTAACCGAAGATAACACTTAAATTAAAACATCTCAAAATGTATATACTGTACTGTACATTGCAATAGACTGATATCACTGTACCATACAGTGCAGTAGACTGATATCACTGTATCATACAGTGCAATAGACTGATATCACTGTACCATACAGTGCAATAGACTGATATCACTGTACCATACAGTGCAGTAGACTGATATCACTGTACCATACAGTGCAATAGACTGATATCACTGTACCATACAGTGCAGTAGACTGATATCACTGTACCATACAGTGCTGTAGACTGAGATCACTGTACCATACAGTGCTGTAGACTGAGATCACTGTACCATACAGAGCAGTAGACTGATATCACTGTACCATACGGTGCAGTAGACTGAGATCACTGTATGATACAGTGCAGTAGACTGATATCACTGTATGATACAGTGCAGTAGACTGATATCACTATAAAATTCATACCTTAAGTCTTTGTTATTCCTCACAGTTTCACAAGGCACCACAACCAGAGGCAAAATTTCTTAATACCTTCTGTGTGCTCCACTTCATGTACAGTCAACTACAAATGTCTATTTGCCTTTCCCCCTGAACCACAATCCCCTAGATTAAGATTCATGAACTTGAAGCAGTAGACTGATACATTATTCTGTCCATAAATGCTTCGGATTCATGAGTCTGAATCTCGGGTTTCATGGTTCAGGAGAGGTGAACAGTTGACTATACAGTACTGTACAAACTTAGTATGTTTACAATTAGCTTATAATCATCATGTACAATACATCAGATGAGTGAATATTGTACTGTAGTACAAGTATATAATTTATAGCAAACAAAAATATGACAACTGCAACACATCCACTCGATTTGTGGCTTTTTTTGAGGTAAGGAAGAACTTCTCTTACATTTAATATTAGTAAAAAAAATAAGTGATTTAGGAACACAAGAACTGTAATACAGTATTAATGTTAATATTTTCTAATACTGTAAGTCATATATTCTCTAAATAAAAATTAGCAATTGTTTGTCTGTCTTTCTCATCCCTCTTATAATTACTCTGTATAAGTAATTGTTTTATTTTTAGTTTCTCTCTATGGCCATTATATAACCTGTAGTGGGCAGGGCATAAAGAATGGGGGAAATTGTGGGGTAAAACGCAGTGAAAACTGATCATATGACACAAAAATGATGTTTTTACATGATTTGTATGTGAAGAATTAATTTTTACAGTAAACACTAACTCTAAAAAATCTGATGAGTCACCGCATATCGTCTTTTTGTTTACAACCAATTCGCTCAGTCCGAGGACTCTTAAGTCCACAAAAAGCATAAATTACACCACAATGCTTCAACAAAGTTAATTTCATTAGTACCAGATATCATAATAAGTACTTACAGTTTAATATGGCCCCTCTAGAAAATTAGGTAGGTTTCTTTGGTTGGTTAGGTTAGATTCTAATAAATGATCACCCCCTTTTAAAATACTTACTGGTACTACAGTTTAGTGTTAAGAACATCAGTGGAACAAATGAAGAAAATCGAAAAACTCCTTCTGGTGGTTGAGGTGTTCTCATACATAATGGTAAAATGTTCGTTCTGAGGTCTGTCAGTTATGAGGTTCCTAAACACTTCTAATTAATGTAGGTATATTTCAGTGTTACTATCACCATCAGTCAGCAGCTTGTTTACCTATGGCTTGTTTCGACTCGGCACGATACACACATTAATAAAGCTTTATGTATTTCCTGTTATATTGAAGTATTTAGTATGCCATACAAGGACGACTCCCTCCCCCATCTCTAGCTGTTGCCGATATGATGAACAGGTGTACCAACTTAGTATGATGATGCACTGGGGATAATAAGAAAGCACTTCGTCTAGCGTTTCAAATTTGACGTTAAATCTAATGATACTTGTGGGGGATTGTGCAATTATTGTGATCACTTAGTTCATGAAGCCTGGCGGACGGAAGGAGGCAACAGTAATAAGGCCGCCACCTTACAGCTCGTACAGTAATACATCACTACTTCACTTACCTGGATCTTTGGGGACATTAATTATTCCCCTCTTAGCTAATTTAGCAGCAAGAGCTGGAGGAAGAGGCATCACGTGTACGTCTGTCTGTCTTTCTGAAGCCGCTTGTTTGTATACATCACCACTGCAGGGTTGCCAGATACTTGTGACCACAGGTAGCGAGAACAGACCTTAAAAGGAGCGGGTCTCAATGAAAAGTAGCACAATATATATATATATATTGTGGGGTTCAGGAACAGCTACTTCTTATCAGTTTTCACAGAAGAAATTTGCGATGAAATTCCGGAGGTGGAACTGATATTTAAGGGAAAAGGAAGAAGAGAAATTAAAGAATATCACTATCAGAAAAGAGGATGTTCTTAAGAAGATAAATATACTAAAGAATACAAAATCCCCACAGCCGGATGAAATTTTTCCTCTAGTCTTAAAAGAGTGTAGGGAACAGATTAGCGGACCCCTCGTAAACTTATTTATAAAATCATTAGACACTGGAGTTGTGCCAGAGTTGTGGAAACAGGCAAAGGTAGTACCCATATTAACAAAGGGAGACAGAGCATCAGCGTCAAATTACCGGCCGATCAGTTTGACGTCAGTAGTGGGGAAATTTCTTGAATCAATTATAGCAGATAGCATCCGATCGCATCTAGAGAAAAACAAATTAATCTACGACTCTCAACATGGGTTTGTAGGGGTATCGAGATATTAATGTTGTCTAGCACTCAGGATGGAAGGAAACTCTAATGTGGTTTTCTTGTATAATATAAGTTATATGATAGACAGTCTGGTGCTGGAGGTGCTGTGTGGTGAGGAGCTGCTCAGTAGAGACGTTCGGTGAGTAGCGTGTTGAAGGAGGTAGATGTGCAGGAGCTTCCTTAGAGAAGATGTTGCCTGTTGCTGGCCTCCTGGTTGAATGAATGCTGACAGCGTGGAGCTTGCTGGAGGAGGTGTTGCTTGTTCAGGAAGATGGGCAGAATGAGAGTTGGTTGGTGAGGAAGCTCAGAGAAGGACAGCTGGTGGGTCGCCATGCTCGCTGGCAGGAGCGAGGGCCGCCAGGCAGGCGAGGAGAAGCAAAGGCAGCCAGGCAGCGGCGGAGGAGGTGTTGCTTGTTCAAGAAGAATGGTCAGAATGAATCTCAATGGAGAGACAGAGCTTATATACCCAGCAGCCGCTATGAGTCATGTTGGGAAAACCCGAGAAGTCGCCGGTGACTAGTTTCGTTGCTAAGTTACGGTAACATCTGGTTGGTTGCTAGGGAAGGCGGTAGCAGGTGGTGGCTGTGGCTACGCAGTTGTAGGGGAGACGTCCACTACAGGTTTACAAAGGGAAAATCTTGTCTAACAAATCTGCTAACGTTTTTTAGGAAAGTCTTCGAGGTAGTAGATAATGACGAAAATTACGATGTTATTTACTTAGACTTTAGCAAAGCATTTGACAGAGTACCGCATCAGAGGCTTCTGAGAAAAATTAAGGCTCATGGTATCGAGGGGAAAGTTATAAATTGGATAAAATCATGGCTCACCGATAGAACGCAGAGGGTCAGCGTAGATGGTGTTAAATCTGAGTGGGGCCGTGTAACCAGTGGGGTTCCCCAGGGGTCAGTACTAGGCCCACTCTTGTTCATAATCTACATAAACGATTTAGATACTGGGATCAGCAGTGACATAAGCAAGTTTGCGGATGACACCAAAATTGGGCGGCAAATTAATTCAGGGCAGGATTCAAATGCATTACAGGAGGATCTAAATAAACTGCAGGGGTGGTCTGAAAAATGGCAAATGAATTTCAACACCAGCAAGTGCAGCGTACATAATATTGGAAGAACAAATACTTATAATGTATACAGCCTTAACAACATCAACCTAGAGAAGTCGACTTGTGAAAGAGACCTAGGGGTACTTGTAAGCCCGGACCTACGGCCTAGAAAACAGTGTGTTAATGTTCGAAATAAGGCAAACAGAGTATTGGGTTTTATATCTAGAAGTGTAAGTAACAAGAGTGCAGAGGTCTTATTGCAACTATATCTTGCGCTAGTTAGGCCGCACCTCGATTATGCGGTTCAGTTCTGGTGCCCCTATTATAGAATGGATATAAATTCACTAGAGTCGGTGCAGCGAAGAATGACAAAAATGATTCCGGGACTTAGAAACCTTCCATATCAGGATAGGTTAAAGAAACTTAACTTGCATTCCCTAGAAAGACGAAGAGTGCGGGGAGATATGATAGAAGTATTTAAGTGGGTGAAAGGAATCAATAAAGGGGATATAGATAAAGTTCTTATAATATCCGAGCAGGATAGCACTCGGAGCAACGGATTCAAGTTGGATAAGTTTAAGTTTAGGAGGGAGATAGGAAGAAACTGGTTCACAAATAGGGTGGTGGACGAGTGGAACAAGCTTAGCAACTTTGTAGTAAGTGTGGGAACTCTGGAAAGTTTCAAAAGGAGGCTAGATAGATTCATGGATGATAGAGAGTGGTAGTAACTCTCGACAGGAGCTGCCATGCACAGGCCAACCGGCCTATTGCAGACTCCTTATTTTCTTATGTTCTTATATTTGGTTCACACTCAGGATGGGTTGGAGAAAGGAAACTCACAATGTGCTCTCTATATACATGTTGTATTGGATGTACAATGCAGCTTGGTGCTGGGAAGGCAGCATGGTTACAAGCGTGATGTAGAGAGAGCTGGTTGGTGAGGGTGCTCAGAGGAGGACAGCTTGTGGGTCGCCATGCTCGCCGGCGGGAGCGAGGACCGCCAGGCAGCGGCGGAGGAGGAGGTGGTGTTGCTGGCTGGTTGGTGTAGGTAGAAAGAGACAGGTCACCACGAGGTCAGGTCTTAAATAGCGAGGGGTAGGCGTGGCTTAGTAGTTGACCCCCGCTCCGTGATGTATGGCGGCGCTGGTTGACCTAGACCACGAGGCATACACTGGGGAATTGGTGGGGTCGGCTACTCAGCGACAAACAGCGTTTGTAGGGGAGAAATCCACTTCAATATATATATATATATATATATATATATATATATATATATATATATATATATATTTATATATATTTATATATATATATATATATATATATATATATATATATATATATATATATATATATATATATATATATATATATATATATATATATATATATATATATATATATATATATATATATATATATATATATATATATATATATATATATATATATATATATATATATATATATATATATATATATATATATATATATATATATATATATAAATATATTTTATGTAGATCCACAATGAAAACGTGGATAAGATAAATCTTGATAAAATCACACGGGAAAAGGGAAACAACGGAGCACCTTAGCTTTCGTCTTTATTCAAGACATCTTCAGAGGCAACTGGATTACATGGACAGAGAGAGGCTTAAATATACAGGGTGACTTTAAAAACATGAGGTCAGGTCATAATGAATATGCTGAATTGCTTCAAACATAGGTTGGATGCTCATATGAGCAATAGGGGTTGGGTGTAAACGGGACTGCCCAGTATGGGCCAATAGGCCCGCTGCAGTTTCCTCCATTCTTATGTTCTTATGTTCTTATGATGTCATCTACTAATCCCCACACCAACACACACGTAGAGGAGCTTAAGAGAAGGGGGTGACGTGACTAGTCAGGTCAGGTCAAAAATAAGGGACCCACTAAATAACTATCATACATCTAGATCAAAGGTTTTCAAAGCATTTTTAACCTTGGGCTACTGACAAATAAATTTATGTAACATATCAGTTTTGAACTGACCATCACTAAGGTTTATTGATTTTAATTCCTTAATCAAACTAGCTTCAACCAGAAGTCTTTCTGTGACACAAGATGATTTAAATACTTCTAAGCTCTTTTCCCAAGCAATGGGATGATTATTATTCCTAACATGAACGAACAAGGCACATTCGTTCCATTGCACAGAAACTCGGGTACCCTTCTGTGTTTGTTGATCGTTGTTTTAAAAGGGCTAAAAAATCCTTTCATTCCTCTCAAACCAGAAAAGTTCCGAGAAAATGGAATCAATTGTTTGTTCTTTGATGGGAGAAGGGATGACACTAAAGTCATTCATGAAAGTTGGAATTCTGACAGGATTGTTCCCCTCACCATGGTGAAGGAAGACACTTCTCCCCTCTGCAGTGAACCAGGAGGAAATATTTGGCATTTCACTCCAGAAAGATGACATCAGGGAAACCAAAGCTGAGATAGTGGCGATAACATTGTGGGCAAAAACAGAAGAGGAGAACATGGAGCCAGACCCTGCAGGCCATTGGAGAGGACCTTTCCAACAGGAATTGTAGGGGGGGTCATACAGTGGATAGAGCGGAAGATTGGGGAAGAAGCTGGTCTGGATTGTTTGTGACCTCCACACACCAACAGTTGCCACTCTGGAACATCTGATCCAGGAGCTGGATGACAAGACTCTTTCAAACAACAGATAAATTGCGTACTCTGGCAAGATGCTGGACTCCTGCCACTTTCAGGTTCGAAATAAATCCAGGCTTTTGAAAAAAAATCACAGTTGGCCCTCACTCATTTAGAAGCTTGTACATTCTGTCATTGACGACTGGTACTGACCAGTACTATGGTTACATGAATTTGCAGATGCCATCAAAACTGGGGGTCATGCCTGATAGACTTGCTTACCTGCAGATAGGTCCAGTCTCATTCGGTAGCTCTAACAGCTCTCAGGTTCTGCAAGGAATTTGGGTCACTTTCATCATAAAACTGAAAGGAACCAGCTTACAACACGAACTTCATGTCCAATTCATCATGGTATCCTACTTTGCCAGTGGTTTTTCAACACAGGTCAAGTCATCGTTCTCCAGTCCGAGGCATATTTACTCTTCAACAGGCTCCTGAGAATAATACGAGGAAGATTCATTCGAATTGTGGAGCAGACTGTGAGAGGTCTTCCTGACTGTAACTCATCCAGAGAGCAGTTCTGCGAATGGCCTGCAAAGCAAGGATGAAAAAGGAGGAGAGAGAAGAGAGTGGCAGTCAGGTCTTGGATATGAACTTATGAGAGGATGGGCATGACGAATCGGGGTTGGTGGCCGATTCCTTCAGGTTAGGAAGACTCTGGGGAATCCAATCTAGGTGCCAGGCCTCCACCGATCTCATAGATCT